GCGTGTTTGATTTTCCATCTGAGAAGTGTTTACTGCTCAGTAGCAACATGAGTTGACCAAAGAAACGATATTCGGGCAATCAACGTTGAATTTTTCCGACTTATGTAGAAAATTTTTTATTCAATGCAGTTTCCACTATCGAAACGCTTATTTTTGTCAAACTCTTATAGGTCGACCAAGTTGAGATTTCAAGCTTTCTCGAATCATTGAAGAGAATTTATTTTTTGAATAACATTTGCTTAAAATATCTTTTAAAGAACTGTTATGTAAGTTTGTGGCCAAAATAGTTTTTTTTTCGGTGTGAATGTTCCTTTCAAAGTTAGTAAATGTTTACATCCTAAAAAAATTCGAGGTCGGTCGGCTAAAATTCGATATCAAAAAAAATACTGAAGTAAAAATGGTCAAATTTCTTGGACCATAGTTACGAATAGAAAAGAATTTTTTGATAACGCAAGCAACAAACGCTTGTGGTTTCGTTCATTCAAAACAGGAATTTAATATTCGGGTGTTTTAGGTTTTTTACTTCTTACTTTTTACGCGAAATCAGGTACCACAATGAATCGTCAGTTTGAGTTGAGTGATATCTCATTTTGAAGCCTTTTCAATCGTGATTCGATAGACTTTCAAAAGTTTTAAACAAACTTTCTCAGTGTTGAGAAAACCGGTTTGAATTTTTTGATTTTTCATCTACTTTGGAGCGAGTAAAGCGATCGGGCAACGTTCGTTATATGTAACAATTAGCTTAAAAACATGGTTAAAAAACTAGAAGAAAAATTAGTTTTGGAAGTTTCATTCAGCGCTTCTCTGGCATAGCATTTTCAAAATATTTAAAGTTTTTGGTGAAAGAAAATGAAAAAAAAAATGAATTGCAACTGGTTTTTGAAGCTGTATATTATAATTTTTTTTTATGATTGAGTTTCATTGAAGCAGATCAGCGTGTTTGATTTTCCATCTGAGAAGTGTTTACTGCTCAGTAGCAACATGAGTCGACCAAGAAAACGATATTCGGGCAATCAACGTAGAATTTTTCCAAGTTATGTAGAAAGTTTTTTATTCAATGCAGTTTCCACTATCGAAACGCTTATTTTTGTCAAACTCTTATAGGTCGACCAAGTTGAGATTTCAAGCTTTCTCGAATCATTGAAGAGAATTTATTTTGTTGAACATTTGCTTAAAATATCATTTAAAGAACTGTTATGTAAGTTTGTGGCCAAAATAGTTTTTTTTTCGGTGTGAATGTTCCTTTCAAAGTTAGTAAATCTTGACGTCTTAAAAAATTCGAGGTGGGCGGCCAAAATTCGATGTCAAAAAAATACTGAAGTAGAAATGGTCAAATTTTCTGGACCATAATTATGAATAGAATAGATTTTTTTGATAACACAAGCAACAAACGCTTCTGGTTTCGTTCATTCAAAACGGGGAGGAACTTAATATTCGGGTGTTTTAGTTTTTTTTTACTTTTTGCTTTTCACGCGAAATCAGGTACCACAATGAATCATCAGTTTGAGTTGAGTGATATCTCATATTGAAGCCTTTTCAATCGTGATTCTCAAACCTGAGAAAACCGGTTTGAATTTTTTGATTTTTCATCTACTTTGGAGCGAGTAAAGCGATCGGCCAACGTTCGTTTTTTGTAAAAATAAGCTTGAAAACATGGTAAAACTAGAAGGAAAATTAGTTTTGGAAGCTTCATTCAGCGCTTCTGGTATAGCATTTTCAAAATTTTGAAAGTTTTTAGTGCAAGAAAATGAAAAAAAAAAAATGAGTTTTTTTTTGATTTTTTATTTTCGCTTTTTAAGATAGTTTTAGTCGTTTATGCCTAATTCGCTAAATTTTACGCGTTCACATAATTTTATTATCACACGAAATACAAAAAAAAGACACTAATTTGAAGAAAAAAGAATTTTTTTCCGAGAATGTGGTCTGAGCATTCTGTGCTACTCGCTGATCATATTCTTAATTAGGTTTCAATAATACGACTATTTTTAAAATTCATGCATGGCAATAAATCCGGTTTATAAATCGTTTAAAATGAATTGATTTAAGCAAAATATCTTGTTTAAGCAAAAATGTCACTTCGTTCTCTAAATCGCATGATGAGGTTGCGTTTTTCCTTTGTATTTCAGTGTTCAATTTTTTTTAAATTAGAGGGCTCAAGTTCCCTTTTGCTTTACTTGTGTCATAAGTAAGCAAACCCGGTGCAATTTTGTTTTAATGCTAATTTTCAAGGTGATGAAAGTGTCAGAATTTTCTCCGGTTTTTTCACAGCAACTGGTTTTTGAAGTTGTATATTATAATTTTTTTATGATTGATTTTCATTGAAGCAGATCAGCGTGTTTGATTTTCCATCTGAGAAGTGTTTACTGCTCAGTAGCAACATGAGTCGACCAAGAAAACGATATTCGGGCAATCAACGTAGAATTTTTCCGAGTTATGTAGAAAGTTTTTTATTCAATGCAGTTTCCACTATCGAAACGCTTATTTTTGTCAAACTCTTATAGGTCGACCAAGTTGAGATTTCAAGCTTTCTCGAATCATTGAAGAGAATTTATTTTGCAGAACATTTGCTTAAAATATCATTTAAAGAACTGTTATGTAAGTTTGTGGCCAAAATAGTTTTTTTTTCGGTGTGAATGTTCCTTTCAAAGTTAGTAAATCTTGACGTCTTAAAAAAATTCGAGGAAGGCGGCCAAAATTCGATGTCAAAAAAAATACTGAAGTAGAAATGGTCAAATTTTCTGGACCATAATTATGAATAGAATAGATTTTTTTGATAACAAGCAACAAACGCTTCTGGTTTCGTTCATTCAAAACGGGGAGGAACTTAATATTCGGGTGTTTTAGTTTTTTTTACTTTTTGCTTTTCACGCGAAATCAGGTACCACAATGAATCATCAGTTTGAGTTGAGTGATGTCTCATATTGAAGCCTTTTCAATCGTGATTCTCAAACCTGAGAAAACCGGTTTGAATTTTTTGATTTTTCATCTACTTTGGAGCGAGTAAAGCGATCGGGCAACGTTCGTTTTTTGTAAAAATAAGCTTGAAAACATGGTAAAACTAGAAGGAAAATTAGTTTTGGAAGCTTCATTCAGCGCTTCTCTGGTATGGCATTTTCAAAATTTTGAAAGTTTTTAGTGCAAGAAAATGAAAAAAAAAATGAGTTTTTCTTTTGATTTTTTATTTTCGTTTTTTAAGACAGGTTTAGTCGTTTATGCCTAATTCGCTAAATTTTACGCGTTCACATAATTCTATCAGCACACGAAATACAAAAAAAGACACTAATTTGAAGAAAAAAGAATTTTTTTCTGAGAATGTGGTCTGAGCATTCTGTGCTACTCGCTGATCATATTCCTAATTAGGTTTCAATAATACGACTATTTTTAAAATTCATGCATGGCAATAAATCCGGTTTATAAATCGTTTAAAATGAATTGATTTAAGCAAAATATCTTGTTTAAGCAAAAATGTCACTTCGTTCTCTAAATCGCATGATGAGGTTGCGTTTTTCCTTTGTATTTCAGTGTTCAATTTTTTTAAATTAGAGGGCTCAAGTTCCCTTTTGCTTTACTTGTGTCATAAGTAAGGAAACCCGGTGCAATTTTTTTTAATGCTAATTTTTAGGTGATGAAAGTGTCAGAATTTTCTCCGGTTTTTTCACAGCAACTGGTTTTTGAAGCTGTATATTATAATTTTTTTTATGATTGATTTTCATTGAAGCAGATCAGCGTGTTTGATTTTCCATCTGAGAAGTGTTTACTGCTCAGTAGCAACGTGAGTCGACCAAGGAAACGATATTCGGGCAATCAACAGAATTTTTCCGACTTATGAAGAAAGTTTTTTATTCAATGCAGTTTCACCGATCGAAATAATAGCTCTCAACGAAAACGTTTCATATTCCAATGAAGATTATTACGCCTTGAATTCAAGTGTATAAAGTTATTTAGCCTGTAATCATTCTTGGCTAAGTATCATACACTCCAAATTGGCAAAAAAATGGAAATTGCCCTATGAGGGAAGTTTTTACCTATTAAACAAACATTCGTTATGATGAATTTTTCTTCGCATTTCCTTAGTTGATGCACGTCGAAAAGTTGATGGACGTTTAATAAAAGTGTTCAAAACATCTAGGTTGATAAAAAATAGTAAAAGTTCATTATGATCGATATAATCAACGAAAACTGTTTTTTTTTTTATTAAAGATATTAACTCCGATCCAAATGATCAAAAATTTTTCACCTGCAATCGTTTTTGGCGAAGTTTCATTGATTTGAAAATTAGTTATATAAGGAAGTTGCCACGTAAGGGAAACTTTTCCGCGTAAAAGTACATTAGTTTTGATGAATGTTTTTTTTTTTCACATTTCACTCGTTTTCTGAAACGATTTTTGCAAGGGAATAAAAAGCATTAAATAAATTAATTTTGATGTTCTCAAGCATCTTAGTTCAAAGTTCTTATTATCAAACAACTTTTATGAATTTTTTTTTATCTGCTCTTCAAGTATGAGTTTTAATGTCGGACTTATTTAATGTCTTTAATTGGACTAATGTCGGAATTTCCGTTGTCGATAAATAGTTATGTTTTGCTTCAAACCTTTGGTCTGTGCTAGAACCAGTTTGTAATTGGGAGCTGAGTTTTTCATGGGTAACCACCGTCCTGGATGACAGAAATTAGAAAATTGGTTGTCTTGGCTCGTCTATCTTTCCCTCATTTCTCATCTAACTTTAAAAACCAGTGAGAGATAAGGAGCAAATATTTAACGCCGAAGTCGGAAGAGTTTTTTTTCTAATCATTGAAATGAAAAAAAAATCATCAAAAAATAATACAAATTCGTTTCAATGAAGTTTGCAAATTTTAATATCGGATATTTGGTAAACGTTATTCGACATATGAGTGATCAGCGTTCAAGAATTATAAGTTTTGAATTTTTCTTAACATTTGCTCATATGTGTTCTTTTTTTTTTAATTTTCCAAAGAAAATGAAGTTAATTGCATTCAACGGAATTTTTAAATTATGAAGCTTAAATTTGTTTACAAAATCAAAGTTTTAATTATGAGTTACTGTCTTGGAGTCATTCGCAAATTCAAATATTTCTAAATCAAAAAATTTAAGATAAATGTCATCAAGGGTAAAGAATTGCGCAATCGGTTTGTAATCGTTTACTTAGTGACTACAAAATCAATCACTTCGCTGCTCAAGTTCTCACACATGAGTGGGTGTAGTAAAAGCTCTTTGGCACTTGGTCTCTTCAGCACATTTTTTTCCAAGCACTGTGCTACAAATCCAATTAGCATCCGGCTCGCACTCTTGGGATCCCGGAATGTTGGCGCAGGACTATCTGCAATGGTCTTCATTACTTGTTTGAGACCCTGGTCGAAATGCGGAGGCTGTTTTTCTTTTATCTCAATTATGAGAATGCCAAGAGACCATATATCGGCTTCTGTTCCATAAGGTCGACTCAAAGCTACTTCAGGGGCCATCCAGTGAGGTGTTCCAACAAGTGAGCGCCGTTTGGGGTACTCTTGAGATATTTGGCCACAATACCCGAAGTCCGATAGTTTAACAATTCCTTCCTCGGTTAGTGATACGGAGTCACTTTTTATGTCGCGATGAATGATACCTTTCGAGTGGATGAAAACCAACACTTTCAAAAGAGACTGAACTATATATACAATTTGTGGTTCCTTGAATTTGATTTTTCGCTTGGTGATGTAAGACGTGAGAGTACCTCCACGCATGTATTCTGAGCTAATCCACAAATTGTCTCCCACTAAATAACTGTCGAAAAAGCCGACGATGTTGGGATGCTGATATTCTTTGAGAACCAGAACCTCGTTGAACATCAATTCGCGTCTTGCGTGTTTTCGGATTGACATGATTTTAAGAGAAACTGTTTGTTTCAAAAATATATCTTCCGCTTTGTACGAAGTATATGTTGAACCTTCTCCTAATTTCTTCATGCTTTTGAATCTGTATTTCGGATCTTTGTTTGAGCACAGAGAGTGCAGTATATTTTTGAATTCATCGTCGTTTAAATGTGACTGATCTTCCATGCAGTTCATTGGTTTTATTTCTGCTTCAACCTCTCCTGATGATTTTCTCCTGGCGAATTGATCAAACTTTGTTTGCTTCGGCTGTGCAGGGATAGCCAGTGGAAAATATTCTTCTGTATTCTCTCTTTCGTCTCCCCCGTCCAGTTCTTTGACTTTGACCCTTTGCTTAAATGTCACACCTGCCTGAGCCTGGCTCAAGTTCGTAGCACTTTTGGCCATTTTCTTATTCCTCGGTCGCAAAATTGACATCTGTGATTCCTGTGGACGATTATCAAAATCGCTGTTTCTGTTTATAGTATTGAAGTTACTATTTATGGTGCTGTGACTAATGTCTAGATTTTGAACTGATGCAGACATGGACTCCCGTTCCATTCTTCGGTCCACTTCTCTCACTCTCTTTTGAGAAATCTGCTCGTATTCTTCGTCATCATAGGATTGTATTGAAAATTTCGGCAGATTTCCCTTTGCCTCACTATGATTCGGCTCTATATGCGACAAAGTTTTGCTGTTAGAAGACAATGGTTCCTGACTTGAACTTCGATTACTGGAGTTGTTGCGAGCAACAGATTGTGTATGTGTTACCTTCCCATGTTGCGCTTGAACAAGTGCAGTTTCTGTACTCACAGTTGGAGGTGACCAGTTTCGGGCACCTGAGCTGCCAAACTGCTGTTGGGTCTGGTGTGGTTGCGGCATTTTTTTATAATAATTTTGACGCTGTTCATAATTTTGATTTTTCTGATGGTGTTGCTCATCTCGCTGCTGCCGCTCCTGCTGTCTTTGTGGTTGTTCGTGCTGCTGAGTTGCTACTGGTCTTGGTTCATTTGGACGATTCTTAAAAACGCTGTTTGTGTTTGTATGTTCAAAATTGTTGTTAATGGCGCTGTGACTTGTGTCTAAGTTCTGAACCGAAGAAAACATGGAAACCCGTTCCATTCTTCGGTCCATCTCTCTCACTCTTTTTTGAGAAATCTGCTCGTATTCTTCGTCATCATAGGATAGTATTGGAAACGAAAAGTCCTTCAGATTTTCCTTTGCGTCACCATGTTTCGGCTCGATAGGCGACAAAGTTTTGCTGTTGGAAGACAATGGTTCCTGACTTGAACTTCGATTACTGGAATTGTTGCGAGCCACTTGTTGCGAGCCACTGTTTGTCCTGACCTTATGTATTACGTTCCCATGTTGCGGTTTAGCATGTGCAGTTTCTGGACTCACAGTTGGAGGTGACCAGTTTCGGGCACCTGAGCTGCCAAACTGCCGTTGGGTCTGGTGTGGTTGCGGCATTTTTTTAAAATAGTTTTGACGCTGTTCGTTATTTTGCTGTTGTTGAGGGTATTGCTCATCCCGCTGCTCCCGCTCCAGCTGTTTTTGTCGTTGTTCTTGTGTCTGATGTTGGTAAGTAGCTTTGTACGGTTGGCTGTACGAATACATACTTGATGGCCTCTCAGTTCGATCCTGACCTTGAGACAAGTTATCAGTTTGCAGTATTTTTGGTTTTGGCGCTACAGGCGGTGGCAATTTAGTTTTAGGAACTGCTGCAACTGTGATCGGTGAAACTTCATTCTGGTTACCTACCAAATTTGGATCATGTGCTCTTTTAACTTCTGAATCTCTGACGGGATTCTGGGTTGAGGCTCGGTGGCCGGTTAGTAAAACGTCTTGACGAAAGTTAAACCGTTGATCGGTTTTTTCGTTGGGTAAATTTTTCTTTTGCGAGTAAGGCTGGTTTTGTTGTGGAATATTTATTTCGCGCTGGTCTACCGAAGGCGGTGATGTGCTGTTGTTAGTGATCGTATTTCGTGAGCTCTCTGCTGATGGGATGCTTTGGGACGAACTGGTTTCACTGGAGGAGCTGGATCGTTTTTGTATCTCGGCCTCCTCCTCGTTTTCTTCCTCAGTCAGTGTTTGGAAGTTGTTAGTCTGTTCTATTTTGTACTGGTCATTGTAGTTACGCAGTGAGTTGGTCCTGTAGACAAAATAGAATTTTACTCAATCGTCGAGCTGATCAAAAATAAAGAAGGTTTAGCTGCAAAAAATCAAGTTGTTTCATATTCTTTCTACATGCATCAATTCCAAAAATTTGATGCCACAATTTTTTAAAATGGATTTGTTTTAGTATTTGAACGCAACCGGCTTTCTTCGGTTAATATGTTTTACCTTCCCTAAAGATATCTGATCTTAACATTTTTCACATCTTTTCATAGAATTTTGAGAAAAAAATTGGTCGTGTAAAAAATGACGGGAGCTTTGAAATTTTATTTTTAAGTCTCCAAAAAGATTTGAATTGGATCAGATCGTATGTTATCTTTTTTGTTTACCTGTCCAAACTGATTTTGCGAGTCAACCCGGCCGCTTTCTGTTCAGGGGTCAAGCTGCTCTTTTGGCCCACAATCAGCTTCACAGGTGCGATGTCTGTTATCTGTGTCGGATCCACGAATGCACTTCGTTTCTTATGTCCAACAAACTTCTTGTCGATCAAGCCATTCCATTGACGAGGTAGACCAACTAACTCTTGTCTGTCTTGATCGTGAATTACGTTTATTTTGTGAACAGGATTCGAAGGCTGTGAGATATCGTCTTTACTTATAGTACCTACTTGCTCTTTTGATTTGTTCGATTTCTTTTTAAACATGATGAATATTCTCACAAATAAGGACTTTGTTAACTTGATGGTGCAAATATTTGATCGGTTCTGATGACGTTTTGATAAGTTTATTTTTTTTGTAAACAAAACTGAATGATTAGTCACACAAGTTGGTAGTCTAATGTACTTATCAATGCTGTGAAGCTTTATAGTAAGGAAAAAAGTAAGCTTAGGTAGACTGGTAAGAAACAATTTTTCCTGTTTGCTTAAGGAATTTGAATATGCTTTTGCTGATCGTTTTCCGATGATTCCGTTCAGAGATTAGTCATTTCAACGGACATGCTATTTAAAAATTTATTCAACACAGTTTACTGTGAGTTGGTATATGGTAAGAAAATGCGTGTTTAGCTGAGCAAAAATACCAGAGCGTTTGAGCTGAACTTTTCAATGTTTAATTTGCGCAGGAGCTCCAGCCAAACTAAGCAAAAGTATAAAACAATTTAAGTAACTAGTTAAATTAATGAGCAGTTTGTTCAGTAACGAATAGCTTGCTATTTTAGTAAGTTTTTCAATCTGCGTGATCGCTTGGTGTTTTTTACTGTTTTTTCTGCATAAACAAAATTCGTCTTGAAGAGAACTGTTGTGTGTTGTTTTGATGTGGTATAAAAACTGAAACTGTGCTGATAATGTAGTACAATAAATGCAATCTAAAAAGGTTGGCGTGTTTTGTAGCGGAGCGGTTTTTCTCAAATCCAACGCTATCTTAAGCAAACAGTCTAAATAAAAAACCAAAAAGAAACATAGAAGCTGTATTTTTTCTTGTCGTCTATTAAGAATGCTGTCTAAGAAAGGGAATTTGCTATAAAAAAATGGTTTCGTTTTCAGTTTTAGCGGGTGGGCTTTTCACTGAGTAGAATGTAATTCTTTTAATCAAACTTTAGATTAATTGATTTAATTGGGATCGATTTTATCTTGAAACATGCATAACAGGGTAGGTAAACTTGTTGAGTGAAAAGTGCCAGGTTAGATAATGGATTGAGGATGGCGTCCTGTTTTAGCTTGTTGTCGGACAGCTAAGATCACTGACTAACTTGAATTGATTGGCTCTAGCACATGATAGAAAATTGTTAATTTGGAAAAGAGTCCAACACTGCAATTACACTGGTGGACATTGAACAGGTACTTGCGCTTTGTGGGAAACCTTACCTACCCGTCGAGATACTTCATTTGTATATAGCTCGTGCCAAATGTTTGTATCAAATATAAACTTACTAACAAGGCAGTTGTTAGCTCAATACAAATGTACATCTTACGGAAATAGTTTTTATCGTATGTATAATGTCAATTATGTCAAAAAGATTGAAACAATGCGACATCGGACCGAATGAACAATCTCCCCCCTAAATCGAAATAGGGGGGATAGTTCACTTGGTTAAAAGTAATTACTGCTTGAACATTTCGCTTAATTTTAGAGATTTTTTCGTTGGTCCAGTTGGAGGGGGGGGGGGGGGGGGGGAGCCATCCCAAAACGTCTTTTGAGCAAAGATATTTTAACTTTTAATTTTGAAAAGAAGCGCGCTGAAAAAACGCATTTTGCCAGAAACCTCTGAAAATTGAAAAGGATATTTTAAACAATATTTTAAGCATCATCCTGCGGCGCACAAAATTTTTGCAATATGGGGTGTATTAGTATTTATAGTGACCAAAATATGAAGAAAAATTTTTTTGTGAAAATCCGTCCGCCTCTACAAAATCTTGGATCTGCCCATGGGCTGTAGTCTTTTTCAGAATCTCCTCCTTAATAGTCACATTAAAAACCCTGAAATGTCATTCAACGTCAGCCGACAAAACAGTTAATTGAAAGACACACCAGCGGGCACTTCTTCTATTGAAAGTTTTTCAATTTCTTTTTGTTTCGGTCAACCTTGATTATGGTTTTAAATTTTTCGTACATGTTTGGCCTCTGACTTTTTTGGCCTGTGATAAATGATTTTATTTTGACCTCCGAGGATAAACTTTTGTTTATGAAAAACAAGAAATGTCTCCATTTGGGTAATAACGCTTTTTCAACAGCACTAGCTCACCAGTCTGTTTACTGCTGTATACGATAATCTAAGTGTCACCTTTGTATCTGTTGAGTTAGTTATGTCGGCAGTTCATTCGGACAGGAAATACATTAGTTCATTGGACCTGAATTTGAATTCGAAACTGTAATTTACTGAAGACCTCGATTGTTCGTTTTTGGCGATTTTTTTTAAATTTGATTAGCAAAGATTTTAATGAACAGAAAGAATCTTAATTTAAAATTTTGAACCCAATCTACTATTTCAAAAAATTCAAAATCAAAATGAAATTCGCGCAATTTCAGTTTGAAAACTTATGTTTTTAACTTGTGTGCAGTTGTCAATATGAGTCAATATAAGTTGGTTCCATAATCACCCCTAACTCTCTGTCTTATCTCATTGTATCCAATTTCCAACAGTGTATATCATGCTCAATAATTCATCACTAAAAATATATTTCACGAGAGTTATAATATCCCATTTGGTTAATAAGGTTTTAGCTGCCTCTTTAGAGGGGGGTGGCTTTGTTTTGGTCTTATTGGTGTGTTCTCTGGAATGGTTAAGATTATCACCCGAATTGGATGATGCGTCCGTGCAGTATTTCTGTGGGTAGAAGGTTGAAGGTTGTTTGCTTACTTTTGTTGTTCGCTAAGGCATCTCATGAGAGAGGCATCGACTAATTTTGACCTCATTGAAGATAAATGAGGGTAGTAGTGTTAAAATTTTTGAAGAAAAGGTTGATGTCGTGTTGAGTTTTAAAGCACTTGGGTTTTACCTGGGGGACACTTGGGACAAGTCGGTTAAGAAAGACGTAAGGAAGCGTGAATAGTGCAAGCTTAATAAAGCGTGAATAGACCGGGCCTTCCGACTGTATGAGAGTTCAATTGCAGCGACTAGAGGAAGGTTTCCAGTGAGTAATTTGAGTTTGATGATAGTTTCAATGCAAGTATTGGAAACCACTCACGTGGAGTGTTTTGTAGAATTGGGTTTTCGTTATAATGCCAAGTGATGCATTCTGTAGCTCATAGTTTTTGGATTGAGGAGGCACTAGCGGCGTGGAGCGGCGTGTTCAAGCAGCGGCGTGTTCAAGCAGCAGTCTAATGGTTGCTGCATGTGTTTTCTAGGAGCGTTTCCTCAATTTGGCCCCAATTGCGTTGAGGGCCTTTTTTACTGAGAACTTGCTTCTTTTGCTTAGCTACTTGGGTTTTATAGAATATGAAGACATAAGGATTAGTTTTAAAGTGAGCTCATCAATTTTTGGATTGGTAGAAAAAGGTTCTGGATTTAAATTTGGGGGATGAGATTTGTAATATTTTGAGTCAGTTGACAAGAGAACCACTGAACATATGAAGGGAGAGATAGAGTCTAGGTATATCGAGAGATGACGATAGATTTTGATATTGGTAATGGTTTAGGTAGTTGCTTAGCCTGCGGCTCATTGGCTCTGGCAGTGAGCAGTCAGTGAGGTTTCTGATGAGAGCGTAGTGGTTCATGCAGTCAAAGGTTTTAGTTTGATCTAAGACATTGAGAACAATTCTGTTGGGGAGCCTCTGGTGGTTGAAACCATCAGAAATGAACTTTTTTCATAAGAATTTGAGAAAAGATTGGTTTATCCCGCATGATTTATTGAAGCATTTGATGTTTCCCAGTTCGGCAATGGAAAGGGGTGTTGTCGAGATAATCTCGTTGAGATTATCTGAGCTAATGTTTGAGGTTATCTCAATCTACGTTTGAACATTGCCAAAAGTAATTTTATACTAGACAGGGGGGGATTTAGGGGGGGGGGGGGCGTCCCCCCCCTCCCCCAGAGATTCGACCCCTTGCCGACCCAAAGTGTCGCCCCTTTGGTACTTTTTAAGAAATCCATTTTTGGCCGACGGTCCCTAAAGTTTTTCTAAAGGTCCTTCAGCTCCAATATATACTAACTTTGAGGGGGAGCGCGCGCCAAAAAAAAACGCGATTTTTTTGTCAACATTTTCCAAAAAACGCCCAAAAACGGCTTTTTTGATTTGTTTTCTCAAAAATTTGCCTGCGGTGCAGAAAATTTGGCCAAAACAGCGTCTTTTTATTGCTTTACGAGAGCTCAGAAAATCAATTTTGTCGACCCTGATACTAGATATAGTTATTGGAATGGTACATCCCTATCACGACATTTGAGAACAGATTATCTCGAGTTCACGCAATGGAAAAATTAAATATACATTTGAAGAGTTTACCCGTTCCTTTCGGGCATTTTTTCTCAGTTTTTTCAACGGCGTTTTTTTAAAAATCTTTTGCACCAATGTGTAGAGCTACGAAAGTGCTCGTTGTTTGGTTCACCATGGTTGTTTCCTTCTAAGAGTTAATTCGTTCTAATCGTGCTTGTTTTTATACCATGCGGTTGCGTAACTGTTTTTTATTCTTGTTTTTATATCATGCAGGGTAGATTAGAAATATTGGATAAGTCAGTAACTGATATTTTGAAACGCGTTTTTTTTGTATTCCTCTGACGCTAGAAAATAACTATTATAGAAAATTGTATTAGAACACTGACTTCAGATCAAATTAACAGTTCAGGATCATCCGCTACTTCCAGAAACTATGATTGTTTTGAGAAATGAAGAAAATGTGTTTGAAACAAGTTTTGGCTCTGATAACTCTTTTCTAGAATCCGACAACATCACTAAATGAAGGCAAGGAACTATGGCATATAGTGTAATTTTTTTTGCCCAATTTCACTGCCTCAAAAAATTACTACCTTCCAACCTTATCGTCTTGGGTTTTCTTACCAAAATTTTGCAGTTAATAACTGGTGACTAGGCTCATTAACCAAATTAAGTTTTTTTTCACCAACTAAATTGAAACAAAGTTTCAAATCAAAGAATGGAAACTTTTTTTCCGATCTTCATTTTTTCTGTTTCAAATTTCATTTTAGAATGAGCGTCCCGCCGTTCTTTTTTAAATTGCTTTGTGACGTGACCTTCTGGCGTCATGCATTCGATATTACTGATTTTGATATAAATGATTTTGTAATTCATGTTAACATCAAACTCGAGCTCAAACTTATATTTCCCTAACCATGTAAACATTGCTAACTAATTCCACCAACACGATAGAGAAAGACTGAAGCGATCTGTAATATAACTGATCAGAATATAGAGAATACATTTTTCCAAATATGCTCTGACTTGCTCCGATCGATGGAAAAGAATCTTGCGGAATAGATCTTCCCCAAGCATTGCTAAGTACAAGACATGCCTAACCGCTCGAAACAAGATACAGAAAAACAAAATAAAAGACAGGAATGACAATAAAAGACATGGTGACAGCGTGGAAGACTCTATTTTTGGGTTCACAACAAGTGGACGGCAACTGAAGTCTACAACACATGTGCAGACTTTGACAAAGGAAATGACTTGATTTAAACAGAAAAATAAAACTTGGTTCTTGTTAATACTTCTTACCAACCCGTTTCACGCATTTTTCTTGAATTGGGGAAGCACCGTTATGGATCTTGACCTACAACATCAATAATTTTGATTGCATTTAAATGGTGGTTTGTCAAAGGAGCTACTAACCCACCAGAAAAGAAAATAGTTCATAGTTTTTCAACGACAAAACAGTCACTAGGTCAAAATAAAACGAACACTCATAAGCGCATAAAACTGTTGTTGTTGAAAAAAGTACCCCTACACAAAAGTGAAGCTACCAAAACTTTACCATGCCCTGATAATAAAAACTCTCGAATCATCACATCAATCCAAATGAAAACCGCTAATTTTTTGAAACTTATTGAAGCTAGCTTTTTTGTGTCACCCTTAATTCAATGCGTGTTGA